TGCCTCGCCTCGCTAGCGCGGCGGCGGCGAGGGCAGGGCAGCGCCCGTAACTGGAAAACAAAGCCTTCACCGTCACCGCCCGGGCGCTGCCCATTCACTCCTAGGTGCTTAATTGAGGGCTGGGGAGCAGCGCTCCTGGTGCCTTAGGAGTCCAGCTATAAGGATTATTTTACAAAGGAGCCGGGAGTACCTTTGCAACCACCGGGAAGAGAGACTTTTCTTTATTTTTTTTTTATTTCCCCCCACGCACACAACGAGCCAGGTTTGGAATGAAAATGTTCTGGTAACAGGAGTGGAGTCCGTAGACTGATAGAAACCAGATAGAAATCTGTGTTACCGGTTCCTCCGATAGCTGGGTAAGCATAATTGAAAGTTCTCTTTCTTTGCTGTAATAGATGTGAAATGTGTTTGACGGTTGAATTTTCCTACTGTTCACAGATAGTTAAAGCAATATTTTCCAGATTAGCATAGTCTGTATTTGGCGTGTTGTTTGTTTGGTTTGTTGGGGTTTTTTTCCCCCTCTTTCTTTTCATCTGCTGAAAGATTTTCCTTACAGGATTTAAGGGTAGGACTCAGCCTGTAGTGGATGACACCTGCACAGCACTTCACAGCAAAGCTATATAATACTTTCTGAAAGCAGTACAGCATGCTGAAAGCGACCTCCGTGGCAGGAAAACTTCATTGCTTCACTTAAGTAGTGGTTTGCCAGTTTGTTTACAGTTAGAATAGGGTATAAGAGCAGAAATGTAATTAGACATTACTTTTTGTCTGTCCTAAAAGATTCTTTAAAAGTACTCGCAAGGTTTTAGGTCTGTGGGTTGTCAGCAGAGATCATGTGCACAGGACATGCTGAATATAGTATCATGACTTACTGAGATAAATTCAGAACTGGGACATAAGCCCAAACGGGGATCCAAACCTGCAATGAGTTTGTGTTCAGTTACCAGGTATGTAAATCTCTGAAATTAAACCTATTTCCATTAGGTAACTTGCATGTCAGACACCCTGAGGTACCTTTTTGGCACCACATGCATTTATTATTTATGTGTCTAACAGCTGGGTAGGAACCATGCAGCTCAGAATTTGAATCTTATAGTTGCCTGTCACTCCGGTGTTAATGGTGACGATCTTCAATTTGAGCAAGGAAATGTAGCAATGTTTCACTCCTGTAACTGATTTCACTAGAATTGGCAAGGAGGCATGAGAGCGTGAGG